CATGGGAGTCACCTTGTTGCAGATAGCTATGAACGCCGATTTGCCCCCGCGAGACACGAGCGTCGACTTGGTGCGCGTCAGGAACGACTCAGAACCCCAAGAAGCTACTTTGCCACAGACTTTCACCAAAGAACCATGCCGAGATGCTGCTCTCAAGACCTGCGCACTCTATGCTTCGACCATAGCTAATTTAGCATTGCGCGGACGCTTACCGAACGACTCGACTGCGATCGCTCGCGAAGACGCATCTCGACTCAGCGCACGCAAGTTGCTTGCTGCTGTTTACGAATCCGACGCCCGTCGCTTGGAGAATGCATTTGCTGAGCTAGGTACTCTTGCACGAGGTCATAAGAGCAGGTGGGCATCTCGACGACGATCCGCTCGAAGGCCTGGCGGAGGCGAGAGCGTCAAGAATCCGGATGGTCCTGATCCCGCGGAGGTGTACTCTTCGGCAGCTAAGGACGCTTGGCCAGGCCCTGTTCTCTGCTCAGAAGCTTGGACAGAGGGAAAGAAAGCTTTTGCAGCGGAAGCAGACGCCGCATTATTCTTGAGACCTTTGGCAACGCTCAGCGTGCTAGTAGAACCTTCTCTTCAGACCCACTTGCTACCGGAGTCAAGGGAAGCAGCGACGGAATATGTAGAGTATCGACAGATCTTAAAGACGTGCGTCTTGAACTTGGGCAGGGCATTGCGGACGCAACGAGGGGCGCTAGCTTCGGCGCTGCTCGAAGTCGGCGACTCCGTCAGAGCGCCGCAGCTCCAACGCGTGTGCCAGGAAAATTCGGACGCCCTCGTCTGTGCAATTTTGTCTCCCGATGTCGAAGTCCACCGTTCTTCGCTCAACGTTGTTCGCGCCACCTTTGACGAGTCGACTCCTCGAGGAGAGTGTCTGATGTCCCTGCTCAAGTTTAGCCCTGACTTGGCGCTCAAGGGATTGGACGACTTCTTGACCGCATTCGTAGCAGCGACATCTATGCTTATTGAAGCAAATGAGGCGGCGCGATCCTTGGTGAACTCGTTCGGCGATGTGATCGAGTGCCTGTGCTCTCCGACTTACGGGCTCTTGCGAGTCGGTTCTCCGCACTCATTTCTTCCAAGTGAACAGTGCATCGTAGACACGAGAATCCCTCCGATCTGGAACTCTTTACTTCAGGGCATCGCCAGCATCTTCCGCAACAGTCCAGCATGGGCTCAAATCGTTCCTGCACACGACATGGTCTCGTGGTTCAGAGACGTTGTGCTCCTCGCCAATGATACGCTAGAATGCGTCGACGTCATGCGCGCAGCACTGTTGGACGCGGACCAGCAAGATGAGATAGTCACCGCTTTGGCCTTTCCACTCGAGGAGGTGTGCAGCTTCTTGCGTCTCAACGACAAGGCCATCCTGGACGAGACCAAGGACTACGTCGTCAAGGCGCTAGAAACGTTCAGAAGCGCCAAGTACGGAACAAATCTGCCCCAGGTTGTCAAAGATAAGATGCTCAATTTTGTCGAGTCTCAGCTGGCCGAAAGTGATTCCGCCGTCCGACGAACCTTGCTGAGCTCGGCTGAGCTAGTCCTGCTGCGCGACCTGCTGGGACCAATCGAGCTCTCAGACGAAGAAGGCGAAGACGAGATTCAGGTAGTCGA